ATAATAGGTCTAATTTGTAGCTCCTGTGTTCCTGATATAATGTACACATGTAATTATTTTGTCTAGTCAGTTGGTGCAGAGTCTATATTTTGTTATATAAATATCATCAAGTGCCACTCTCTGTGGATGCAAAATTATGCCCAACACTGAAGGCTGAGTTGATGAGGCTCTTTAAAAAATCATCCCCCTGGTTGTAGAAATTTGTTTAAACTTCATGGTTTCATTATTAAATAATGATAAAAAAGAGTTAGACTGAATTCTTGACTGATTCTGTGGCTTTTCTGTTCTACTGTTTTAGACATCCAAAACTAAGCAGTAATTTTATATATGTGAAGAGCCATTGTTTAGTTGGTAATGTTTAGTTGGTAATTATTTATTAGCTTCAGCGGGGTAACCAAGAATAAAATTCACCAATTTTTCCTTTACTGTTATGCAGAAGTTGGAATTATATAACATACATTTGGCTCAAAAATAGCAAATTGTCCTGTTAACAATATAGAATGAAAAAAATCAGTGTATTGGTTAACAATCCATAATAATAGAATTGTTGAAATTGCTACATCACAAAATACCAGGCCAGCTTTGAAAAGATAAACTGTGGTTCTGAATATTCACAAAGCAGAGGATAAAAAGAGGGCTTTTCTTTTTTTTTTTTTTTTAAACTACATTGCTTTAAATTATAGCAGCAGAGAAATGAGAAATGGGAAAGCCCTATTAGATCATCTTGTCATTTCTTCTGCCAGTACAGAACTGTCAATTTCTCTAAAAAGTGCTACTGGTGTCTATTTCTCACTTAGCTATGTTGCAGTTGAATTTTGTATAAACATAATAGAATGATGTTATCTTGTGTGTGTGTATTGATTTTTTTCTATAAAAATCTTGACATAACTTCAAAATATAATATCAGCACTTGTAATGTGTGATAAAATGACATACTGTACTCTGGGATGATTGTGAAGATTATGATCTGATGCATTTTCAGTCTATTGTAATGAACAGGCTTGTGTTTACATATGCTACTGCCATCTATTGCACAGAATCAGAAGAAAAAGTGTACGTCATAGGCTCTCTAACAATCGATGCACTTTTGTTTTAACATTTTCTTTAGGTCAAGAGCTAAGATCCTAGGTATTTTAAGGGAGGAGACACCAGCAGGAACTTCTGAATGACCATTGAGCAGAAAGGCAACAATCATGAAATGCTACGTGGCTAATGATGTGGAACAAAACATTCAGGTGTTCAAAAATATGCAAAGCTGTGGTTATGGAAAAATTAACATACCAGTTACGTACCAGGTAAAATGATGACAGATACTTAGATATTTAATGATTCTTATTATTATAGTACTATTCAGTACTCAAAGCATATTCACACACAAAAAACTCCAATATTCTTGTCCAGTTTTTAAAAAAAAAATTATTTACATTTGACAGACACACCCATATCTGTTAAATATGTATGTAGAGATTTCATTCAGTTTGACAAAATCATTGAAGGAGACATAGGTGGTACAAAGAGGCTCACTCTGTAATAGGGGAACATCCTGATAAACAGATTTGATTAATATACTAGTGTCTAATGTCTCTTTAAACAAAAACTAACTCTTGGAATTATTGTTTTGTTTCTCATATTTACATGGCAAGGATTTGTCAACTTACTGAAACTTCCAAAATAAATAGTTTAAAAAATGAACAGCAATGTTTGTTCTTCATTCCTGCAAGGATCTTCTCTGGCTTGCAGACTCTCCTTTAGTAACCTTAACAGCTAATTTTAAGTTATAATTTGTGTTTCTATTTTTGCCAGGTAATTTTCAGTCTGATTCATTTTGTATTCCCATAAATGCATTTTTCCAGTAAATGAAAAGCTGCTTCTCCTAGTTCCGGAGTTCAAATAGAATTAATTAATCTGTACATTGATTTATTAGATCTGTAATTAGTTTTTTACAGGCCCTGTAGTTCACTTACATTTCTGAGTATGACATTATCTTGTGTGTCTTTTTGAGCTTTTGTGATTCCTTAATTGTTTAACTAAACAGGTAGGACCAAGACCCCAGCCTAGCCTTCATTATGCATCCAGAACTCTCATTGACTTCATTAAGAGATCTGAGTGCACAACGAATGTGAATTAGGCTTTAAATAGAGAAGCTTTCTTCCAAATATTTGAAGGGCAAATATTCCAAGAAGAAAAGGAACTATCTCTGGCGTCGCAGTTGTAATACACACTTCTGCCCAATATTTTGTAAAAGGAAAACAGGCTGAGTATCAGAAAAAAAAAAGTCCTAACGGTGAAGTCTTCTAAGGGAAAGACAAACAGGAACAAAGCTGGGAATAGAGCACAGGTTTCCTGTCTACAAATCACCTGGTCTAACCATTAGAACATATGCCTAAGTTTGAGACCGCAAACATTAAAAGTTTATCAAAAATAAATGTATCAGCTGATTAAGTGTTTAATTGGAGTTATATGCAGCACATAACTATTAAACGCCAAATTCTTCATGTAAAGTGTACAAGAGAGATTAATGTTGTACTACAGTAAGTAATATTAAAAGATACTATTTCTTTGCAAATTGTATTGATGCTAGATTTCCATAAACTTTCACAAGAAGTCTTTATTTGCACACACACATGCAATGACAATACACAAATTCAAAACAAACATTTGTTCTTGTAGATCCATTCACCTCAAATGTTACCTCACTGGTTGCATGAGGGTCATTTAGATATGTGTAACATCTATTTGGTCTAGGGCAGTGTTTCCCAATTTTATTTGGCTCCAGAACCTTTAAAAAAAATGCCAGGAGAAACTGGTCGGCCCCTGGAAAATGACAGCCCCAGGCGACCACCCAGCTTGCCCATCCTTAAGACCAGCTCGGGGGGAAAGGGCGGAGGCAGGTGATCAGGTTCTCGCAGAACCCTTATTTTCACTTAGCGAAACCCCAGAATTCTGCGGAGCACTATTTGGGAAACACTGGTCTACGGGAAGCTCAGTTATGTGAAAACTCAACCGTGTCTTTCTTACATTTCTCTTGTATTCCCTTTCCATTAAACGGTATTCCTTTAGTATTTCTAGTGAGAGTTGTTTCAGATGAATGGCTTAATAAATTTAGCTGATGTACCCTTTCTGACTATGACAGTAAATATGCTTTCTTATTGGTTTGGTAAACACTATCTTATATAGCATTCATGACCTTGTATGTTTCCACAGTGCCTTTCCATTTTAGAGCAAATTTCTTCCCCATATTTCTGAAGAGTTTAGCTTATGTTTTTTTATGTGCAACCATATCTCTTTCAGTTATGGCTATTCAGAGCCAACAGCCACCTTAGTAATTATTTGGGTAGTGTAATTAGCAAAATGATAGTATCACAAATAACTCTTGCCTTAGAGCCATTAGGAGTGCAGAAAATAATCAGAAAAGTATCTAATGCGTGTATGCACTCCAGGTAATTTGCTATTTCATAATATATTATACATGGAAATTTCACTTCAGGGATGGCACTTATGGAACAATAACTGGGCTGCAACAACTAGAGCATTTGCAGCTCTGCATGTTCCTTACATCTGTCTAGTCTCTGTTACAGCTGGTCCCAAGTCATGGATCTAAGGCCTATGACTTATGTTACCACACATTTCTACCACCAGAAGTAGAGAGCATGAGATGTAATGGAGGGCATTTTAGCAGTGGTTAGTCACATTGAGAAGGCAGCACTGTGCCTGGGTGAAGAGATGATGTAAGTATGGTGAAGTGGAGACAGTTAAGGAAGGGTTTGATAGCCGTGGATTGTCCCTATGCTGATAAGTAGTTCTGGAGCACAACCACAAGCACAGAAGGGGAGCGCTACATCATCATGTAGCCCTGAAATGGCCAGCAATGTGTCCTCCAGCTTAGAAAACATCCATTTATTGCTGTGTGAGGAACTTGCCTGGACTCTCCAGCCCCAGTACATGCAGAAGGCCAGACCAGTCTGGAAGCAGGTTGCTATTGCCATCTGGGAGGTGCCTACCTGAGACTGCTATAAGTCTATAGTAACCAGGTTAGTGTTGGTGCAGTGATGGCAGAGGTCTGTGACATAGGTATTGCTGTGACTTACCCACAGGTGGTGAACCTTGCTAATGTCCCCAAAATAATTATCTGGTTTTGAGAGAATGAGGTTTCCAGACTGTGCCACTGATGGCATGCACATGTCCAATGCCTGTCCTTACACTGGGTGCCTGTGAATGTGTCAACCCGCATGGATTCTGCTCATTACAATTAACCACAGTATTCCTAGGGTATCCCAGCAACATGTATGATAGCAGGGCATTCTGGAGATCTGGTTTGCTTATCTGGACAAGAAGGGGGCTTAATTCCTTCCAGTAATATGGACATCAACAGTTGTATGTGCCCACTGTTAATTGAGAGGAAATATCCTCTATTTCCCTGTGTCATGAAGCTGTATCCTGATTTAAGAGCACCTTGCAGAAGTAGGTAAATTAAACACCAAGCAGTTGTAGAGTAGAGGCAGAATGTGCATTTGTCAGGCTGTAGGCAAGACAGTTCTGCCTAAAGATACATTTGGATGCCATTGTGCTCAATGCCATTTGTGTTATGGGGTGTTGTGTGCTGCACAACATACACCAGGGCTACGTCTACATTGGCATGATCTTGCACAAGAACTCTTTTGCGGAAGAGTTCTTGTGCAAAAACTCTTCCAGAAGAGAGCATCTACACTGGCATGTGCTTTTGCGCAAGAGATGTGCTTTTGTGCAAGAACATCCTTGCCAGTGTAGACACTCTCTTGCGCAAGAAAGCTCTGATGGCTATTTTAACCATCGGGCTTTCTTGCGCAAGAAATTCGTGTTGCCTGTCTACACTGGCCTCTTGCGTAAGAACAGTTGCACAAGAGGGCTTCTTCCTGAGCGGGAGCATCATAGTTCTTGTGCAAGAAGCACTGATTTCATACATTAGAACATCAGTTTACTGGCACAAGAACTCAAGGCCAGTGTAGACAGGAAGCAAGTTTTTGTGCAAAAGCAGTTGCTTTTGCGCAAGATCACGCCATTGTAGACACAGCCCAGGACAAAAGGGAGCTCTCTGGTCAGAAGAAGGTGGAAGACAATTGTGCTTTACAGGCTCAATACAGGCTACCAGAAAGCATGCCTCTAACTAGAGCTTGTTCAGCAGAGAAAGGGAAGTAAGGGATGCCCTGTGTGTCCATATCTTTGCTTTGCATGGGGAAATGTGATTGTATAGAGTAATGTGATTTTCCTTCACTATGCATTTTGTAACTTAGATTGCTAGCTCTTTTGAAGCTGGGACCAATATCCCCTCTAAGCTTTTCCACCCATGTGCAGATTTTTCCATCCCTGTGCAGAATTCATTTTTTATGTTCACTGAGGCATGTGCCAATGTTCACCACCACTCGAAACAAAAAAAGAAGTCTATCTGTGAGCGCTGTGCTAATCAGCTGGGTGGCATTTGAATCTCTCCTGAGTGGCCACACAAGTGCACAGCTTACAGGGAGCAGTAGTTGGGACCATCTTTTTGTTTTGTCTGTACAACACCTAACATGACGAGGGCTCGCGGGTGCTATGGTAATAATATTACTAATATTATGAGAATCTACTAAAAGCTTTGGTTTAAATGTCCTGCTTCACTCTTATTGCACTGGCATGGAGAGAACAAGATGCATCTGCCCATGTACACTTCCATTCCAGACGTGCATCAGATGGCTCATTTCCCACCCTATCCCAGAACTGTCCATGGGCTGCACAACAGGGTATCATGAAGGAGAGCCAGTTATTAACAAGACCAGGGCTGCTTATGCTGGGACCTGGCCATGAGGCTAGACATCTACTTGAACATGTCTCTCTCTTGCTGTTGGTCCTGCTCTCCCATCACCATGATGTGCTCAAAGAACTCAAATACCATTCTTTCCTTGTCTTGCCACAGCATTTCTATTTGCATTTATAGGTGTTGGTCTGACCTGTGGCCAAAGTCTTTCTGCATGTTCCTGTCCCTTCTTAATTTCTCCCTGATAGTTCAAGATCATCTCTGTAAGAGTCCTGGGTGACTATATTGGACTGGCAAAGATGGTGGCTCTGCAAATGTAATATCATATCCAGTGCTTTTTTTGTAGTAAAAAAAAAAAAGGTACAAGGGTTGCCTGATAGTTTAAAAAAAATACCAGATAAAAATTTGTTGCACAAAAAAAGTGCCGGGGAGTAACCAGGGAGTTCTGGGGGGAGAGATTCAGGAGGTCGGGGCTGAAATGTGGTCATGGCCCCTTTAATTGCCACGTGTCCCAAGCAGGCTTCCATCGGGTGCCAAGCCGGGCCTGGGAAAAGCAGAAAAACTTCCTTCATTAGAAAATACCGGACAGTTATATGTCTGGTATTTTCTCAATTTGTTTACCGGACACAAAGTCCAAATACTGGACTGTCCAGTTCAATATCGGACACCTGGCAACCCTAGCCAGTACGCGCGGCATGAGTGCTCCCAGGGCCGGCTGGAAGCTGTGCCAGGGGAAAGCAGCGCAGTGTGAGTGCTCCCAAAAAAAGATGCCGATACGCCATAATGGTGCGTACCATCACAAAGAAAGCACTGCTCATATCTAACATTCTGAGTCCCATCAAAGCCACAAGTTGCACTTAGTCT